AGCCTTTAGAAAGCTCTCTTGACTTTCCAGGATTGCAACCTGTCGGGAGCACATCCAGCCCTTTTTTAAAAAGCGAGTACTTGCCTCCCACTCTTTGTCTCTCATGGAGTTGGCAGCTGCCTTCACTCTGGGGGTCTGGAACAGGGGGCTTGCAGGCGATTCCCGTCTCAGCCCCCACGGCACACAGGCTTCCCCGGGGTTTGCTGCCTGCACTCAGTTCTCTTGATCCGAGAGATTTCCCTAGGAAGTCTGGCCCTGACTTTCCTTAGGGAAGGGAGGGGGCAACGCTAGGGCTGGGCGTGCATGGCGACCCCGCCACCCTCGGGCTGAGCTTTGCTCATTCCTAACCCTTCTTCTCCGACGTTGCAGCCAGTGTTGCGTTGTCCTGCTGCTGCTGCTGCGGCGCTGAGGCGCGGCTGCTTTCGCTCCTGTGCCCACGAGCGCCAGCGAGATGAGCCTTCCAGGCCAAGGTTTCCCCCTGGATCTCGGGGGCAGCTTCACCGAGGACGCTCCCAGGCCGCCGGTCCCCGGTGAGGAAGGCGAGCTGGTTTCCACGGACCCGAGGCCCTCCGGCCATGGCTTCTACTCCGGGAAGGGCGACCTGGTCAAGGCAGAGACTTCGACGGCGACCCCGCGGCGCCCTGACCTGGACTTGGGCTACGAGCCGGAGGGCAGTGCGTCCCCGACGCCCCCCTACCTGAGGTGGGCGGAGTCCTTGCACTCCCTGTTGGACGACCAGGATGGCATCAACCTCTTCCGGACCTTCCTCAAGCAGGAGGGCTGCGGGGACCTGCTGGACTTCTGGTTCGCTTGCAGCGGCTTCCGGAAGCTGGAGCCTTGTGATGCCAATGAGGAGAAGCGGCTGAAGCTGGCCAAGGCCATCTACAAAAAGTACATTCTGGACGGCAATGGGATTGTGTCGCGGCAGATCAAGCCAGCCACCAAAAGCTTCATCAAGGACTGTGTCGTCAAGCAGCTCATTGACCCAGCCATGTTTGACCAGGCCCAGATGGAGATCCAGTCCGTGATGGAGGAGAACACTTACCCGCTCTTCCTGAAGTCCGACATTTACCTGGAGTACACCAGGACAGGCGGGGAGAGCCCCAAGATGTGCAGTGACCAGAGCTCCGGTTCTGGGACGGGGAAGTGCCTGCCGGGCTATTTGCCCACCCTGAACGAGGACGAGGAGTGGAAGTGTGACCGAGAGGCCGAGGTAGTGGAGGAGGAGGAGGAGGAGGCGGCTGCTGCCCCGGAGTCGGCCCAGGTCTCCTCCAGCAGACTCACCCAGAAGCTCCTCCTGGAGACAGCCCCCCAGCGAGCTTCTTCCTCCTCCTCCTCCTCGGCCCGACGGTACAGCGAGGGAAGAGAGTTCAGGTGAGAGCAGCCGGGCTGGCGAGTGCCCATGCAGGATGCGGCCTGCAATCCCAGCTGGCCGGCTGGGTCCCAGGAGCTGCGGGGGGTCCAGGGGAAGGGAGCTTGGTGGGGGGAAGGTTGGTTCCACCTCCGCTGTGGATTGGATTTGGAGTGGCAGGATGTGGAGAGAGCTGTCCTCCACGTGCCTTGCGGGTGCTGGAGGAGGAGGGGGCAGACATGGGTGCCTGCCTTCCAGAGGAGGCCACTGGGCCTCTCTAGGCAGGCCCTGGAGGGGGTCTGGTGCGCGGGGCACTTGGGAGGTCTTAAGGAGGAGATGCTGACCCTTGGCTCAGGACTGGGGGTGGGGTGGTGCCTGGAAATCCTCATAGAGCTGGCGCTCAGTCTCTAAGCCATGACCCTTCTCCAAGCGTCCAGAGGAGGAGAAGATGCTCCTCCATCATTCCCCCCCTCCCCAGAAAGCTCAGACCCATTAGTTCCTGAGGGATGCCTTTCCCCATTTCCAAGGACCTTGTCTTGCCTCCCACCACCACCACCAGCAGCAGCAGCAGCCCCTGAAGGGCTCAGTCTGAAGGTAAGAAGGGGAGCCAGAGCTGGCTGGATTGAAAGAGAATCTCCTTCAGGCAATTATCCTCTGTTTTCCTGCTTCCACTTCCGGCCTCGTTTATCTGATTTGTTTTCTCTGCAGTTGCCTTCCCCCTCCCCCTCTAAAATAGGGTGGGGGCTCTTAAGCCACTCTCCCCCCCCCCACAGGCTGTGGAGAGGATTCCCCTCCTCACCTCCCCAGGAAGGGAGGAATCCTTTCCCCACCAGTCCAGAGGTTCCTCCCCTCCCGAAGTCACGGGCAAGGCTTGCTGGAGAGACCGGGAGCTTTCCTTTTGGACTCGTTTTTCCCCCCCTCTGTCTTTCAAACTAGGCATGACGTGTGTGGCTGAGAGAGAGAGAGAGAGAGAGGGAATCCTCCGATCCCTGACTCACTCCCGGCAGGAGATGGGAGAAGGGATCCCATCTTGGCTCTTCCTGGAGGAGCTTCACCTGCAGGAAAGATTTGGGCTCCAGACTTTGGCTCTTGGTTGCAAGCGGTGCTTGTCTCTGGCAGAAGATTCAGAAAAGCCGGAAGTGTGCTCCTTTCAGGGCCTAGTGCTGCCCTGTCTTCCCCTTCCTCCTCCTCCTCCTCCTCCTCCTCCTCCTCTCTCAGTAAAGGCACAGCACACACACACAAACCAGGTCACCAGCCCCTGCCTGTCACTCTTGGCCTGGGATTCCAGCGGGCGGGTCCCGCCTAGGCTGCAGGGGGCGAACTGTGCCAAGCCAGGGGCTCCTCGGGCAATCCCTGGCCGGAGCAGTGAGTGGCAAAGCTGCTCCAGGCGCTGCTGCAAAAACACTCTGCCTAAGTTGGCACGCGGGCAGGTGAGTGTTGTGTGCGTCGTATCTATACTCTGTAATGCTTTCAGGTCGGTTTCCGAATGGAAGAAGATGCCCGAGGCGGCTGCTTCGGCCGCTCCTCCTTCCCGGTGTGGTTCTGTGGAAACGGCCTCCACCGAGAGGAAAGAGACGCCACCCCCAGCCCCACCGGGAAGAGGGAGCTCGTCTGGCCCTCGTCCTGGGTGTGCAACAAGTGTGAGCAAAATGTTTTGCTCTACCCCTGCTGCCCTCCCACTTGCTGTGGGGCTGCTGTGCGGGGAGGTGGCCTCACATCACCTGTTCCTGCTGCTCCTCAATTGTGCACAAATGTTTGCGATATAAATAGAGAGCAAGGCGGTGGGCTTTGGGGGCCTGGAGGTTGGCGTGACTTCCTCAGACTCTTTTCTCCTTTGGCCTTTCGGTCGTGCAAAAGTCAGAGGAGCCAAAGCCGACGCTGGAAGATTTGCAGCCTAGATTTGGTTGAGGCGAGGGCAGCTTCCCCTGCCCCCCTCCCCCCCCGCATCAGATGTGCCTGCTTTTTAGGAGAAGAGCGGGTGATGGAGAAGACTGCTGCCATTTGAATTGTTGAATTTCTTTCTGGTATTGTCAGCAGGAGGTTTTTGGCCCCAGAGCTGAGGGCAGGGGACAAAAGGCCCGGGTATCCCAGCTAGACCGGGGTGGTTCTGGAGGCAGCCTGGGCCCCCGGCCGAGCTGTGGCATCTGGCCACTTCTGGGGTCCTTCTCGGGGTGACTTCCCCCTGGGATAACCACTCCCTGGTCTCTCTGGTTTGATGCTCTGTGTGGCCATGTGAGCCCAGCCCGTCTTCCTGCCGGACGGTCACCTTCCCTCCCCTAGCCTGACCCTGGGGCTTCATGAGCTCCTCGGGGGGTGGGGGGGTGGGGGGGGGAGTGGGGTTTGGAGGCTTCCTTGGTACCACAGGACGTTCCTCTGGGGAAAAGGAAAGCCTCTTTGCCGGCCATCCCTTTCCCTTTGGGGGCTCCTCCTCCAAGGGCCAGGTTCTCCATTCCTTCCCACCCGAGGGCCTCTTGGCCCCACGGCGGCTGCTTTCTGTTCAGGCAGGAAGGCCAAAGGGCAGCCCTCGAGGGGCGGCTGGCCTGCCAGTCCCATGGCTGCTCAGCTGGGGTGGAGGTGGAGATGGAGGGCCCCTGCACTTAGGGGCCAGCAGCGCTGGGGCTGCAGCACGGGCGACGCCTTTCCCATCCCTGCCTCCTTGGCCCGTTTCCCACCCGGAGGAGCTGCCCCGCTCCCTCCCTCCCTCCCTCCCTCCAAGGGGGTGCCCCAGCCTTCCTCTGGGCCACCCACCGAGGTGGATCAGACGCCTCTCTCGGCCTGGCTTTGTCCGGGGCCAAGTCGAAGGCTGCGACCAGCGGACAGAGTAGATGATGGGGAAGAAGAGCAGCCGCCCTTTGGGCTCCCTGAGTCGAGGGATGAGCAGCGTGGCCCGATGTGTCCACAGGGAGGAGCGGGGCCTGCCTTCTGCCCTCACACCCTCTGCCCCCGTGGCTTTCTCGGCACACGGGCGTGCGGCCTGGAAGTGTTTGCCCTGGGTGGGAATCCTTTCATCCTTTTCTTCTATTCATAGTGATGCATTCCAGATGAAGAGTTCTTTGGGATTTGTGCAAATAAAGAGGAGCCTTTTCATGGCCAGTTGGCTGGCAGGCAGCCCTGAGCCTGGGCGGGTGGGCTAGCCCGGAGGTTTCGGGGTCCCCCTGTGAGTCGCTGGCCAGGGGTTGCCAAAGGAGGGCCTTGCGCCCCAATGGCCCTTTAGCTCAGGCTGCTGTCCTGGACCCGGCGCGGCTGGCCGCCGTGAAGAAATGACCCCCTTCTCCCCCCACCCCCCTTGGGGCAGCTAGGCAGCAGTGGCCGCCACCTTCCTCCAACCCACCGAGCCTCAGAGGCTCGTTTCTGCTCTTGAGTCGAGGAAGCCAAGGAGGATGTAGGCCTGCTAAGGATCCGCCTGAGCGAGAGAAGCCGCTCCCTGAGGGAGGGAGGGAGGGAGGATTGCCCCCCCCTTCTCTCTCTCTCTCGCCTCTGTCTGGTATGTCTGTTTAAGACCAAAAAAGCTTTCTTGAGGAAAGAGAAACCCAGTAAAGATGCTGCATCGAACCACACCGTGGGCTGATGGGCCACGAGCGCTTCCCCATGGGAAGCCCCACATTGCTGCACTTCATTGTGAGTGTGGGTCAGGAGGGGGGGGAGGAGAGGCCTGGACCTTCCCTTGGTCTCCACGGGGCTCCAGATGGGCACCTTTGGTGCGCTGGGCAAGGGACCGAGCCCCCCTGCTCCCCTTGGCGTGACATCTGGTGGCACAGGGTGGGGGATTTCCCCAGGCCACGATGTCCATGGGAACCCTGGAGGCCTGCTGGCCCCTGTCGCCCAGGGTTGCCCTCCTCGGCAATGCCATAGTCCCCCCCCTGGCTTCCTTCTTGAGCCGAGACGTACCACCTCGCTGGAGCTTCCAGGATGACCCCATGGGGGCTCAGCCACCAAGTCTGGAGCGTTGCCCCCTGACAGGAAGGCCCCGGTGCCTTCTGGGGCACAGATGTTCAGGCCCTCCCAGTTGGCACAGCCACCAGGAGCTTGGCAATGAGGCGCCACTTTGTCTGTGGGGGGTTGGGGGGGGATATCAAAAGAGTGGCAGTCTTTATGTGTGTGGTGGGGGGACGACACGTGATTAAACGTAAGACGCTGGTGTGGTGGCTAAGTCTGTCTGCTTAGGCCACAGCCGGGCTGCAATGTGCTGCCATAGCCGGCAGGGTGGGGATTGTGCAGGAATTGCCTTCCACCAGGCCAGCCTCTCCTCCCGCCTTCCCTTTGCAGGCCTGGACCTTGGAGGGAGCCAGTGCACCCGTATTATGTCAACACGGGCTATGCCGTGGCACCTGCCACCAGCGCCAACGACAGTGAGCAGCACAGCATGTCCAGTGATGCTGACACCATGTCGTTGACTGACAGCAGTGTGTGAGTACATGCCCGATTTCCCCCAGGGGGAGCAGAGAAGACTGGGAGGGGGTGCTTACTCACTGGCAGGCAGCAGGAGTGGCCCAAGGGGGGGGGTTGCAGTGTTTGGCAGGCCTTGGCCAGAGGGCCAGGGTCCTCTCGCCCCACCCCAGCCCACCAACAGAAGCAGTGCAGCCAGGAAAGAAAGCCAGGGAGGCTTGTGAGCAAGGAAGGGGTGGTAGGTCGGCACCAGCAGACCACCGTGTGGAGGGGGGGGCAGCCAGCCAGAGGCCTCTCCTCCTCCTCCTCCTCCTCCTCCTCCTCTTGGGGCAGCTCCTGATGGCCTTGCTAGCCTGGCAGTATCCTGCGCTCACCCTCCACTCTGCGGCCTGTCCCTTTCCCCTGGCAGAGATGGGATCCCCCCGTACCGACTCCGGAAGCAGCATCGCCGAGAGATGCAGGAAAGTGCCAAAGCCAATGGACGTGTGCCACTACCTCACATTCCGGTAGGTCGCTCTCGGGGAGAGGGCTTTTTTTTCGGGGGGGGGTCTGCCTGGAGCAGCCCAAGAGAGGGGCTCCTGCCCAGGACACCTCCTGCCACTCTGTCTGGAGGGGAGGCTGACTGGGGTTGGGAGGAAAGCTGCCTCCTGTCGCCAGCCCTGCCAGCCTTCGCGGTGGGCTGAGGCAGCCCCTGGGGTGGCCACGAAGGGACGGCTTCCTGCTTGAGGCCGGCAAAGCCCCTTTTGGCTCTTGGCTCCATGAGAGAAGCGAATAATGCTGAGCGAAATGGAGCAGCCGGCTCGGATTGCTGCCGGAAGGTGGGTGGGACCAGCGCCCTCCGGGGCTTGGGGTGGCTGACGGGGCCGAGGCCTTTCCTGAGCGGAGAGCCTGCTCTCCCCACAGCGTACTTACCGAATGCCAAAGGACATCCACGTGGAACCCCAGAAATTTGCTGCCGAGCTGATCAACCGTCTGGAGGAGGTCCTAAGGGACCGGGAGGCAGAAGCCAAGCTGGAGGAGCGCCTGAAGCGTGTCCGTGCGGTGAGTGGCAGCTGCTGTCTGCACTGCCAGGAAGGGTGGGGTGGGGTGGGGTGGGGTCTCCACAGTGTGCTGGTAGGGCAAGAGGCCGGGCAGTGCCTGGGCCTGACTCTGTCCCCTTGCCCTTATGCCCCCTTTTGTCTCTGGTAGGGCAGAAGGCTCCACACAATAGCCCCACTCTGCAGGTCTGGGGAGGGAGAGCAGCTGTTCTCATGGGGAGGGGAAGAGCCTCAGCCCTACAAGGAGCAGCCGGGTCCGTTCCCCAGCCAGGGGTGGTGTTGGGGACACCCTCACGGAGGTGGGGGGCGAATGGGGACATTGGGTCCTCCTGGCCCTCGGTCGTTGCTGCCGTCCCTCCTACCCTGGACTTGCTCTGCCCCATCCCCGGGGGGGGGGAGAACGGCCTTTGGGGAGGGAGGAGAGGAGAGAGTCATCCTCCCCAGGGGGGGAGCCCCAGTGCGGCCAGGCAGCCCCTTTCCCCTCTCCTGCCATGACACGCTTGCGTCTTGTGACAGGAGGAGGAAGGCGACGACGTGGACCTCTCCGTGGGCCCTTCGCTCTTGAGCCACAAGCTCCTGCCCCCTCCTCCGCTCCTGCCCCACTTTGCCCCCCGCTACGCAGAGCTGCCGCTGAGAGACGCCCACGAGGAGAACCCCGAGAGCATCCTGGACGAGCACGTCCAGCGGGTCATGAAGACGCCCGGCTGCCAGTCTCCCGGCCCCGGCCGGCACTCTCCCAAGCCCCGTTCCCCCACGAGGAGAACCCCGAGAGCATCCTGGACGAGCACGTCCAGCGGGTCATGAAGACGCCCGGCTGCCAGTCTCCCGGCCCCGGCCGGCACTCGCCCAAGCCCCGGTCCCCCGACAGCGGCCTGGCCGGGAAGCTGCACGGCCTGGTGGGGGCCCCGGGGAAGCACGGGGCCAAAACGGGGGCCAAGCTGGACGCTGGCAGCCTCTACCACCACAAGCACGCCTACCTCCACCTGGTCCATCACCACGGGGCCTTCAAGGCCAAGGAGGTGGCCGAGGCAGAGGCGGGCTCCCGCGGCCAGGGCCCCTTCGGCTGGAGCTTCGACGCCCACGGCTGCAGCCCCAAGTCCCGGCTCTATGGGGAGAGCGCCAGCCTGGGCGCTGGCCTCCCGGAGGCCCTGGTTTACAGGTGAGAGGTTGGGCAGCTCTCCATGCCCAGGCAATCGGGCCGAGAAAGCCACGTGGCCGGCTGATGTCCCAGAAGGGGAGGGAGGGAGGGAGGCAGAGGGCTCAGACCGTAGGGTGCTTGGGGTGGGCCACGGGGAAGGGCCCAGAAGCACCCCTGGCACCTTGTCCACCATATGCGGGCCCTGAGCAGAGAGGCAGGCTGCCCTCGGGCCCTCGCTTTCGGCGAAGGGCGCCCCTGCTTGTGATGGGAGCAGGATCCGGCCCTAGTCCAGAGGTCCTCGAGTTCTCTCCAGAGGGATATGACCTTTCTCTTGGCCATTTGGGGAGCACTCCTGGGGGTGGGGTGGGGTTAAGGGATCCCGAAGGGGTGGTGGTGTCTGCACCTCCCCCACGTGGGCTCTTCTCTGTTTCCAGCGGAAAAGGCAGCTTGCCCTCCAAACGGAGCATCAAGAAAGCCGAGGGGGGAAAGGGCGAGGGGGGCGGCCACGACGGGCCGGGCTCTCCGGAAGACGTGGAGAGGAACCAGAAAATCTTGCAGTGGATCATCGAGGGCGAGAAGGAGATCAGCCGGCACAAGAAGACGAACCACGGGTGAGGGGCGGGAGGGCGAAGGAGCACCCCCCCAAGCAGGTGGCCGGGGGGGGCACGCCTGCTGCCCTTTGGCCTTTGTGGCAAGAAACATCTCTCCTTGCTTGACAGCTTTGTGGCAAGGAAGCGACACACACACACACCCCAGGTGGGAAGAGGGGGCAGAGGGTGAAAACCCAAATGGAGACCCCCCCCCGGCAGGGTCTCCTCAGAGAAGGCGGGGACCCATTCTTTTTCTTCCAGGCCAACAACCTTCTCATTTCATCTGAAGCTGTCTGGATGCCTTCCCCCCCCCCACACACACACACACTGATTGCCGTTTTACACAGGCGGAAAAAGCACGTTCCATGTGCTGGAGCATGCACAGAGGTCTGAACCGTCGTGCTGCGGAAGTGACCGCCGCCTAACTGTAAAAATCAGCAAGTAAATCTAGATCTGGAGGACTTCTGCGGCAACGTAAGGAAGACGAGCACCTCCGGGCGTTCTTGCACGCGAAGCTTTCCCGCGAGGAGAAGCAGGGCTGCGGCAACCCGGCATTCCCGGCTGGCTTTGGAGGCGCTCGGTCGAGAAGCGGGACGCGCCCGGCCCTTACCTGGCGAACGCTGCGAATGTGGAGTTGGTGGCGGGGGTTGTTCTGGCGTCTGTCTTTCCCGCCTGTCGCGCTCGTCTCGTCTCGCCTCCCACCCGAGCTGGCCTGGCTCTGGGGTGTCTGTGCTCCCTTCTGGCTGGTGTGTGGTGTGTGGCGCGTCTGTTGGCAAGGAAGCTTTTAGGGTGGCTGTGAAGTGCTTTGTGAGTGCTTTGAAGAGCCGCAGGGCTTCCTGGCAGCTGGGGGGCTTCTCTGCCCCAAAGAGTGCCCTCCCGGTTCCCAGCTCAATGTGTGGTTGTTTTCTAGGGTGGAGAGAGCGAGCAAGAGGGATGGCCGGCAGCGTTTGGGAGGGATGAGCAGCCCTGGGGATCCCCTCCTGGGATCCCCTCCTTAGTAGGAGAATGGCTCACCCCGAGCCCAGAGACGACAGGCGGGGGGCCTTCCTGCCACCCCACACCCACACCCACACCCAGGGGCGCAAGCAGGCGTGCCTAATGTCTGAGATTATTCCCCAGGTATGTTCAAGAGGTTATCCAGCGTGGGCGCTTCTCGGTGAGGCCAGCCTGTGTGCCCGTGATGAATGTGGTGCCCGCCGTCTCCGACCTGGACCTCTCCGAGTCCGAGTACGTGTGCCACCGCTCTCTGCCCCCTCCCTCCTCCCACCCTCCCTCGTAGCCCCTCACTAGAACCCCTCAGCCCTTGGCCTGCCATCGGGGGGAGGCTCTTTGGGGGCGGGGGCGCTGGGCTGGTCCCATTTATGGCAGGCAGCCCACGGTGGCTGCCGTCTGGCATGGCTGGCTCCCAGGGGCTGCTCTGGGTCACCCGGCAGCCGCCTCATGCCGGGCCTCCTGGGCGGCCCACGGGTGGCTCTGGGCCCGATTCCCGCCTTGGCGCTTGGCCCTCCTGGAACCCTCAAGTGTGTGCGGGTGCAGTTGAGGTTGGTGGCTATGGGGTGGAGCCGCTGGACCCCCTTAGGGCGCTGGGGAAGGGAGGTGCTGCTCCGTTGCTCGGGGGCCGTGGGCGCGCGCTCCAGAGGGCACCTAAGCAGAGTGTGGATGCCCGTTGAGGCCAGCATCATGGCAGGCAACCCAATGCCGTTCTGCGGCGGGGAGCAGGGGGTTTGCAGGTGGGCAGGAGAAGGCCTGGGCAGTCAGAGGGCGGACCTTCTGGTGGTGTCCAAGAAGCTGGTCTGGATGATGCCCTTCTCCTCAAAGCATCTCCTGCCTCCCTGTCCCCAAAGTTGGCTTAGTCAGTGTGTCTGTGTGTTTGTTTGTTTGTGAGAGAGACAGACAGTATGTGTGGGCATGACAGAGTGTGCATGCTCTGGTGCTGGGGGCATGTGTGTGTGTGCGTGCGTGCGATTTGGGCAAATGGGTGCCCCTCCCTCTGGGGGCTTGGCCAGGTCTGCAACCCCCTAGCTGCTGTTCAGCTGCGAATCCAGTGTCCCTCAGTTTGGGCTCTGCTGGCTGGGACACATGAGGGAGTGACACCCCACACACATACAAGATCCGGAGGGTTCCAAGGTGCCCCCCCCATCTTTAGAGGAAGGGGTGACCCCCAAGGGAATGGGGCTGCCCCAGCGGGGACTGGATTCAGGGTGGTGCCACCTCCCCCTCCCCGAGAGAGACTCTGGTCAGTAAGAGAAAGGGAGCACAATCCTGCCCCCAGAAAGGTCCTGGCTCTGAGATGTCTCATCAGACTCCCGCCCCCCCCAAAACACAAACGCACGCATGCATACACACAGCAGAGAGAAGTGGAGTTCCTCCTGAGGCCGGGAGGCACAGGGAGCAAGGGATTCCGTGGACATCCGCTGTGGTTGCCGGCGGGGAAGTTCCGCAATTTCCCTTCTCATGCCACTGCCCGCCATGTTGGGGGGGGCTCCTACCCCATCTCTTGGGCCAGTGGCCTTCTGGCCCTCTGGCTGGTCATTTAAGGAGTCGCACGTGTTACTCCTGCCGCCCGCCCGCCCGCCTGCCTGCCCACCTGGTGGGGTTGGGGAGGTGCTTTCCCTCTCCAGAACCCCCCAGGAGGAGAGTCATGAGGCCCGACCTGCCCGGCCGGCCCCTGGCCTTTCCTGGTCCTCTGGAGGCCGCCGTTGGTGGGGGGGGGGGTCGGCCTGTGCTCTGCCCAGATGAAGGACTCGCTTTGTGTTTCCCTCCTAGGGTGAAGCCGGCCAAGCGGGCAAGTGGGGGCTCCTCCGCACCGCCCTGTGAGAATATCGTGGTGGCCTATTATTTCTGCGGGGAGCCCATCCCCTACCGCACGCTGGTCAAGGGCCGTGTGGTCACCCTCGGCCAGTTCAAGGAGCTGCTCACCAAGAAAGGGAACTACCGGTGAGAGAGACGGATGGGCCCCTGCATGACGGTTGTGCCAAGAGGAGGGGAAGGAGGGGAAGCTCCCCCAGGGGGGCTGTGGGCAGGCCTCTGTGTTGGCACCTCGTCGCTTGGGGGCCTCCACGGCACCATAGCCGGTCACTCCGCAGTGTCTCCTTCCCTCGGTGTCCCTCTGGCTTCGGGGGAACACGTGGCTTCTCCCGACCTGGCCAGCGGAAGCGCCTCCAGAATGGGGAGAAGGGGATGCCCACTTGGCTGCGGGGGCAGAAAACCGCCGGCCTGGTGGGGCCTTTTTATGCCTCCAAGCAGCACTTTCAGGTGGGGGAGGGTCTTAGCAGTGCCCCCCCTTCCCAGGGCGGTTTCCCATGACTCCCTGTTCCTTTTCGGCAGGTATTATTTCAAGAAAGTGAGTGATGAGTTTGACTGCGGGGTCGTGTTTGAGGAGGTGCGAGAGGACGAGGCGGTTCTGCCCATCTTTGAGGAGAAGATCATCGGCAAAGTGGAGAAGATTGACTAGCCACCCAGAGAGGGCTCAGGAGCCTCAGGGAAGAGCCATGGGGGGGGCATTCTTGTGGCTTCTCGCTGCCCGTTCCCCCCCCCACTTCCCGCAGCCACAGAGCACCTTTACTGAACCACTTTGCAAGGTGGGATGGAAAACGAATGAGGCAGGATAACCCCCCCCCTCCCATACCAGCACAAATGGAACTGGGGTGTGTGTGCAGAGAATGATCCCATACTCTCATATCCATGGCAGGATTATTGGGGGTGGGGGAAGCACGTGACCCAATTTGGGACGGGGCAGTCTGGAGCAACGAGGCTTGCATTGGCGTTAGGCCTTTGGGAAAAGCTGCCGGGTCTTTCGATTTCAGGACTTGCATGTTCACTGGTTTAAGGCTGGGGGTGGGGAGTGTCTTTGCACACAAGCGGCCGACTGCAGTGGGTGGCAGAAGGTGCTCCCTCGATCCGCAGGCGCCTCTCTCTGGGCAACGTGGGGACCTCGCTTTCTTGCCTGCGTCCAGCCTTTTGGGGTTGAGGGGGTGCAGCCTCCCCTCCCAGCTCTGAACGTCTGCCCTGGGCACCTGCCTGTCTTAAGACAACCCTTGGCACCAGGCAATTGGGGGGGGGTCTGTGCGTGGCTGGCATGGCCGTTGGGGCTGCCCCCGCCCCCCACCCGAGTCCGGCCTGCTCCTTGCGTCTGTCACCGAGTGCCTTCAAACACTGTCCTCTCGGCCGGCCTCCTTTGCTAGCCGGTCAGGAAAAGAGGGGCCGGTGGTTTCCTTCCCTCCGAGGCGCTGCTCTGATCCCTCCCCTGGCAGGATTTTTAACACGGAGGACCAGCCACAGCAGGTTCTTCGTGTCCCTTTCTTTTTCCTGAAGGGGGTTCCATTGTAAATATGTACATTTTCTAAACGAAGCACCAGCCGCCAGTGGTTGGGTGAATGGCTGGCCTCTCTTGAACATTTTTCACTTGCTGACTTGTACAATTTATCTTTTCAAAGGTACTTGGATAATAATGGAATAAAACTCTCATGTTCCAAAGGCTGCCCTGGGCATTCTGTGGGGGGGGGTCGCCTCCTCTTCGGTGGGAGCCCAGGGGTCTGGGCTCCCCTTCCTCATGCCCCCTGCCCCTCCCCTTGTGGCTTGGCTGCCCTTGGGGGAGAAGGCCAGACCCTTTCCAGGGAGCATGGGGCTCCCACTGGTGGGGGGTGGTGGGGGTGTTCTGGGCAGTTTTTCTTTCCCTGTCATTGCTGGGGAATGAGTTGTTTTCATTCTCCTGCCTCTTGCGGATCATGTCTAGCAGGGGGCACCTCACCCCTCCCACCAGGGAAGTTCCAGAAGAAAGGAAAGCACTGAGCCGAACGTTTCCAATGTGCTATTACGGATTACACTCTTCCCCAGCTGATCCCATCGCCACTGCCGGTGGCTTTTCTGACATTCAAGGCCAACTGGTGACAGTTCTCGTTAGGCTTCGGGGCCATCCGTCCACTGAAGCCCCCACGGCGGCCTGTGGCTGGCGTGGACTTCATAGCTCCTCTCGGAGGTCGGGAGGGCTTGTCTGGTTCTCTGGCTCCTCGGAGGTTGTCTTGGGGCCCTGGAGAGCCAGAGCAGAGGGTCAGCAGGAAAGCCAGCCTCCTGAGTCCCAGGGTGAGCCCCTGCCAGCGGCGGCCCTTCTGGTGGGCCTCAGTTCCTCCCCAAGGCCCGTGGGATTTGGCCTCTGCCCTGCCCCCGATCCCAGGGAGGAGGCCCAAGAGTTTCTCTCCTGGTCCGAATGAAAGACTGCAGGGCAGAAGGGAAGAGAGCTGGAGATCTCAGCCCCAGATTGAACCCCACACACACCTCTCTCCCTCGGCACAGGGTGGGGACAGGGCAGGGATTCTGTGCCCTTGCCCCCCCCAGCCCATGTTGGTTTGCAGTGCCTGCAGGGGGACTATCCCAGAGGCTCTCAAAACCAGGATCTCCTCCGCCAGCCTCCCGAAGACTTTCCTCTCCATTTCAGCTCATAGTGGAAGCCACGGTGGTGAAAAAGGAGCCCCCCCCCGTCTCTGTTTTCTGCGGGCAGGAAAGGAGTTGGAGGGGCCTGTTTTGAGTGGGCCAGTTCCCAGGGCACCCCCTGGCAAGGGTGGCGGATCGTTAATCTGATATTAATCATCACTGGTGCCTCCTGCATGAAAGAAGGGCCTGGCTTTTCTTGTAAGCCAAGAACAAACCTCGGTTCCTCTCCTGGCCGGCCGCACTAGTCTTCTGCACCCACTGCCAGAGTGGACAGACACAAGTGGACGGTCAGTGTGGATCCCAGCCCCACAAATCCCGCAGCCCCAGAACCCAGCTGTCTGGAGGTGGGGGTGCAAAAACATGTATCTATTTATTTATTTATTGGATTTCTATCCCGCCCATCTGGACCAAACATTCAGAGGGCCTCAGAATGCACAGATGCCTGTCTTACTTTTAATTAGGTTATTGCATGTGTTCAAGTCCAGGATCTCCTAGGTAGAGTGTTTAGAAGTAGTTTCCTGTTCTTTTCTTCTGTGGTGCTCGGGGACCACGTAGCCTGCTATAGGTCACACTCACTGGCTTTTTACCCAAGAGTCACAGTGGTGAATTGAACTCCTGGCTTCTGCATCCAGCAGCCAACATACCTTCCTTCCCTGCCCCACAGGGAAGTAGTACAGAGTGGGGTACGCCCGGATTGTGATCTCAGCCACCTCATTGGCAGTCGCATCCATCTCGGCAATGATGATGTCCTTGTGATCTTGGTATTTCTCCCCCAGCTCTTCCCAGACAGCGGCCATGGCCTTGGAGTGGGGGCACCAGGGGGCATCTGGGGGAGAATAAACCGAGCGGTCGCCTGAGCCGGTTCATCAGCTGCAGCCCTGGCCAGAGATGGCAGGACTTGGCTCAGCGAACAAGCCCTTTGGCTGCACCCAACCGGAACTCCTGCCATGTATGCAGTGTGGGGCTGCCCTTGAAGACTTTTCCCGCTCTAGTGCAATACTGTAAACTGCAGACCAACACAGCTATTGCTATGAAAACGGCTTTTTAAAAAGTATCAGTTGTCTGGGATGTGGCATTGGTTGACCTGCAGTGATTGGCCGCCCTAGGTGGGGAACTGTGGATCCCTGGTCCGGGTGCAGGCAGCCAGTCTTTTTCTCAGCAGGTGCTGAGGGCATAACAGGAAGGAGGCGGCAATGACCGTTGGTCAGCTGGCTTGCACAGACGGGGCATCAGTTCCACCAAGGTTTGGCTTGGCTGGATGCAACGCCCCCCCCCCGAGGCCCCGAAGGGGGCAGCACACTTACAGAACTTCACAAAGACGTTTTTGCTCTCCTCAAAGGCCACCTGCTCAAAGTTCTTGCCCACCAGGGTTTTCACTGGCCGCCGATCCCAGTCCTCAGGGACCTCTCTGCTCATCAGGTGAGGCTGGAAGGCAAAACAGGGCGGGAGGAGGAAGCTGAGGTGGGCAGGTCTCGGCAGTTCTGAGAAGAGCTCTGGGGAGGCTGGCAGGAGAGGGTGCTTGGACTTTCCAAGTTGCCAGAGAAAGAGAGGAAGAGGAAGAGGAGGTGGTGCTGAGGACTGGCTAGGCCTGGGGGGGGGGGGAGTTGTTGGGAAATCCCCAGCGTCTTCTGCTAGGGCCAAGTCCTGCCAAGCCTTGGCAACCCTCCCCTACTGGTGGACTGGGCAAATGATATCCTCAGGGTTGGCACTGGCCTTGGGGAGTCGTCTTCCAGACGGGGCCTTGGAACCCCTCGCAAGTGGCCTTTGCTAAGCCCCCC